AACCCAAGCCAATTCAAAGAAGAACAGAGGGATGGTAGCTGTTTCTTACCCAAAAACCAGAGCAATTTGCCCCCACAAAACAGGAGCAGCCGATGGTGAGGAACAGAGCAAAGCAGATCCGGAAATTCTCTGTAGGGGGGGGGGGAAAGTTTCTGGGTTCTATATGTGTTCTAGAGCAAGAAAAGATGGAGAAATCCCCAAGCTTTTATCGGTTTTCTCAAGGGAGTGCTGTTGGCTTGGCTGGGTTTCCTTGCCTGCTGCAAGGAAGAAGAAGAAGAGCAGAACACGCGGGCTGAAGAAGAAAGAAAGAAGGAAAAAATCAGCCCGTCCTTATCCAATTCTTTTCCTCTTTTAAGTCCCTCAAGTTTCGAAATATTCACTATTAAGCCCCAAAATAATATTTTCTCTCACAAAAACCCTTACTTAAATGCTAAAATATCACAAAATTTTGAGATATTACAATTTTTTTGTTATATATAATTTTTATTTTTATTTAAAAGTCATGTTGATAACAAAGGAATAAATTTCAACAATTGAAAGTGAAGAAATAAATTATTAAAATTTTATATAAATATAATATATAAAATTTATTTGTAAATAAATTTTAATTATGAGTTAGGATTCATTTATACATCAATTTTATATATTATATTTATACAAACTCTTAATAATTTATTTTTTCACTTTCAATAGTTAAAATTTATTTTTTTTATTATATTTATTAAAAATAATTATTTTTTACCTAAAAAATATAATAAATTTTAATAATTAAAAATAAAAAGATAAATTATCAATGTTTTATATAAATATAATATGTAAAATTTATATATAAATAGATTTGTATTATATATTTATAGAAATAAGTAACTGTTAATGATTCTCTCCTATCATTATTGTGCCAATATAAATTAATAATTATTAATCATCACTAATAATCAACGTGCTTATCATTATGCCAGGTCGCTAGCTTGCCGCATAACATTATAATGTAGTTGGCATGGTGTGACATAGCAATGGCCACCCTTATCTGGAAATCCAAGAGACAATGCACATCCTCTCAAGGTATGTCGAAGCAATTCAATGAGCAACTCCTCTTTTTTTTTTTCTTTTTTTTTTTTTAATTTAGTATCAGCTGAGCAACTCCGTCTGCAACCCTTGTAATGTGTTGGAATGAACAATCAACAATGGAGTGTCTCGAAGCATTGATAATCAACAATGATTATTTTATTGGTACCGCTTCCCACAGCTATATTTGTATTGAAAATGGCTTTAGCTAGTGATGACAACTAAACTCTGCAGGATTAGGGAGTGTTTTCCTATCCGTATTCTCATAAATTGTAGAGACAAAAATTATTTTAGGATGTGCTTGAGGAATTGAATTTGAATTTGATGAGTGTAATTAAAATATATGTATTCAAAATATATATAATTTAAATATATGTATTTTAAAATATATTGTTTGAATTAAATAAAATTTTAAATACATGTATTTTTAAATACATTGTTTGAATATATTAAAAAACTATGAATTTAATATTAAATATTTCTTATTAAATTAAATCTTCTTCTAATCATTATTTAATTTAATAAGACCAAAGTTAATAATTTTAATTTTCCAAAGCATTATTTAAATTCTATCAAGACAAACAAATTAGATAAAAAAAAAAAAAAGAACAATGATCCCTACTAATTAATTTGTCTTCATGCTCTTCATTTTCTTTTCATTTTCTTCACTGCCATATAATATTTAATTTCTACAATGATAAATTTATCATGAAAGAATTTTAAAAAACACCTTCTTCTTACCTTTTTTATTTTCTTTTTGCTCCAAAGATTAACAAGAAAATATATATATATATAAAAAATCACATGCAACGAATACAACTAAAAGTTCAATATCAAAATCATGGCATTAATAGACATATTTGAAATGAGTATGGACAAAACCAAGAGCTCTGAAGAAGCTATATTGCCCACCAAATGCGAGGCTCAAGACCACGACAATTCCTCACTGAAAGCCCCCAAAATTCTGCCCTAGGACAAAATTGAGGACAATAAAGAAACGAAGCAAATCAGACGAGCAAGAGCAACAATTTGGGAACTCCCATTCCGGAATCTAAAACCGACGACCAAGAACTTGAGGTTGATGCCAAGGAAGATAAAGATGGTGACTACAAGGAGGAGGATGAAGACAATGGTGAGGGAGATGCTCAAGTGGACAGAAAAGGGAAGGGGATTTTGATAGAAGAGGAGGAGGACGACGAGGATGATGACGATGATTCAAGTGATGGCAAGGATGATGAATCAGATGCTGAGAGCGATTTGTTCGATGATCCGTTGGTTGAGGTTGATTCGGACGATTTGGTGAGAGGAGAGAGTGGAATTTCATTTTGAAATTGAAATTCATGGGTTTGAGGGTAAAATTAAAATATATGGTTTTTATCCTCTTGAATTACTTGAGTGAAATGTATGTATTTCAATAAAATTCAATTACGTTTTATTTAGATAAAAACAAATAGTGACATTGAATTTAAGAGATTAAAATTTAAATACATTGTAACAAATTCATGTTCCCAAACAAAACATTAGAGATTTTTCACAGGATTGAATTTACTTTGTCCCCATTACTCAATAGGGAATGGGTCTCTATGGGGATTCTTCGTATTTTATAAATCTATATTATAAAACCAATTTATCTATTTTTATTTTATTATTTTAAAACAAAATATTTTAAAAAGTTGGGTTAAAGTAAAAAAGGGAGCGGGATTTAGTTTAGTTTAACATATGTAGACCTTAGTATTGGATTAAAATTAGAAATGAGTAATGTCTAAGCCTATGACTATGAGTTAAAATATTTAAATTGTGTTGGATTTACTATTTTTTTTTTAATGTTTCATGAGAACAATAATCCTCACAGGAATTCTCTGCAAAATTTCATAGGGAGAAAATGCTCCTCATACCTACCTCACGGAAAAAAATATTTTTCCTAACCTTGTTCTCATGGCTAGGATCTTGCGGGCCACACAAAAATTAGGGAAAATTATCATCTCTTACATTAACTACTAATTTAAAATTAGTTATTACCGAAAGAGCAGCGATGTAAGGACAACTTTTTTTATACAAATTGTGTTGGATTTACTAATTTTTCTCTTTTTTTTTTAATGTTTCATGAGAACAAAAATCATTGCAGGAATTCTCTACAAAATCTCATAGGGAGAAGATGCTCCTCATCCTACCTCACAAAAAGGAATGTTTCTCCTAACCCTGCTCCCATGGCTAGGATCTTGTAGGCACACAAAAATTAGAGAAAATTGTCATCTCTAACATTAACTACTAATTTAGAATCAACTCTTGCCAAAAAGGTAGTAATATAAGGACAACTTTTTTATACAACTTTGACATGTCATTCAATAAGTAGATGTGCTTAATATTATGGGTTTTAAATGAATAAAAAGAGTCAATTATTTAACTGACACATAAGTTTGTACGAAAATATAATAGAAATATTGTCCCTAAATCATTTTCCTTACTAAAATGTTGGTGTGGTTTTCTCTTTATGCCTTCTTTAATCCTAGCTAGTTTTATAAGCTTCAATTAGAAGAGTAGAAGAAGATTGAATAATAATATTACCTGTCTAGAACCACTAATCCCCTAGTATCTATCACAATGACTCCAATAGCAGCTTCCATGTTCACTTGCTTAGGGCATGTTTGGTTTAACTTGTCAGAGCTTTTGTTTTTTGAGTGTTGTTTATGAGTGATAAATTTAAATTTTTATTGGAGAAAAAAATTTAAAAGTTACTTTTAAATATAAGAAAAAGTAAGTAAAAAGAGGGTTAAAAGTGTGTAAAAATGGAGTTTATGAAAAGTTTGGATTTGAAATTTTTGAACTTTTACTGTTTGAGATCTTTTTAAAATTAAAAAAAAAGTTTTAAAATATAAATTTTTAAGAGGAAAATTTAAACTTATGAAACATGAATAGTGTCAAAAAACTAAAGCTCATGGAAGCTAACCCAAACATGCCCTTAGTGCCAAAGGCCACCTTACATTTGATATAGACATATATGGAACTCACTTTGTGCCCTGAACTTGAAAAAATTACATATTCTTGGAATGCTTTTCCATACAAACTAAGCAAGTTATAAAACTGCTCTTCCCTAAATCAAATCAAAACTAGTAATTAACACAACAGATTAGGCATACATTGTCCAAATAAAGATTCACATACTGTGTCTAGATAATAGTAGAACTCAAATATTTATGAACAATAGTGCATGACACTCACAATCTAACAAGAGGAGCAATTTTTTCCCACACATAAAATACACAGGGTGGAAGAAATCTTATCGTGTCTTGCTAATTTGGCTTGATTTCGATGCCTTCAATAATGACACCACTCTTCCAGTGACCATTAAAACAAACAATCTGTATTTCCAATTTGCCATCTTCACCTCCTTCATTGAAGAATTCACCCAACTCTAGCTCTAACTAACCATCTCCCCTCTCCATTGGGCACCGATAATCATTTTGTACATCTTCACCTTTTGCATGCAGAAACAGAGTTCACTGTAAACCTTCAGTTCCGCTAAGTCAAACAGTGGCTTCTATAGGTTCATTTCTAAATCCAAAAACTCTAGTTGCTAGCTTGAACACAAGGTATGCCTTATAATGTGTCATTGAAGAAAGCTAGCAACTACTGATCCTCCAATTGATTTAAACCAACAAACATCGAGAACCTCTTCACCCTCAGGGAACCTGTTAGTGATTAAGCATGAATTACAGACATTAATCTTGACATATTTATTCAATTTTAGTTGGTGAAGACACTTAAAAACAATCAATTACATGCTTGAATTCTTTTGGTTGGGTGTGAGTGAAACTATGTCATGCATGCCTTTTGTCTGCCTCTTCTATGTGGTGCCTGTGTGTGTGTGTGAGCTGGAATCTCGAATGGAGTTCAGAGAGAGAGAGAGAAACCTGGAATCTCGTATGGAGTTCCATCTCCAATAACAAGGAGTATCACCCCATGTAATTGTGAGGTCCCTGGCAACTAGCATGTATCATTTCTTCCCACTCCTTTTGTGCAGTGAAAAGCTGTATGCAATACAGGTTATACAATTAAACACTCAACCAGTTTTGAAAATGTTCGCCAAAAAAATACTAGTACTGAAAAAGAATAGTTTGGAAAAGATTACTGATCAAACTTCAAAATATCAACGAGGAACCAAAGGAACACATAAACTCACCATAGAAAGGACATAATCATCATTAATCATTATTACATCACCAACAAGAACATAATCCTCTAGCAAGCATATTCCAAAAAAAAGAAGCATTGAAAGCCAGGCAATACATCCATAAGTTTTGTAAATTATACCACTAAAATTCTTTGTAGTTAGCTACTTCATATAGACATGAATTCAGGACTATCAACACAAAAGAAAATTACACGAAGTCATGGCTTCTTAACAAGCCATATATAGCTACACACATAAAATAAATGTTAAAAATCCTCAAGAAGTTTGTTAAAAAAATTGTTAAAAGTTCTAAGGAAAAATTATTCACAGCAGACAAAAAGCACATAGCTCAATTAGCTACACACAGCAATTGATCGGAAAAGGAAGGCATTATCAGAATTAGGTTTTTTAAGCTCATGACTTGTACTCAGTCCAAACAATGAAATCTTACAATATGCATATGTCGACTGAATGCATATCGAGTCAAGTACCTTGCTGAGTGAAAAACTGAAAAGAGCCAATGATTAACACTACCTAAGATTGTAAGATTTAGGACTGTAAGATTTTATTAAGAAAACATGAACTCCCTCTTCTCTAGTCTGATTTAATTATTCTAATTTAAATTTTGAATAAAGTTTGACTGTATGTAAATCAGAAAAGTGGTGTTTAGTCCGTCCTCATACTGTAATACTGTAACCAAGGGGCAGAATGCACATCTTATAACAACTAATGGGGGGCAGGTCCTCACATTGGGACAGTCTCCATACATCAATGCTACAGTCAGCCCAAATTGTTCCCAAATCCTTACTCTAAACATAAAATCGAAAAATTCTTGTTTGGGACGGATGGAGTAATTAAATTTTATTCTATGCATAATTTTTATTGAGTATTTTTAATTAATTAATTTTTTTTTTCAATTATGTTTGCTTTTTATATAAAATTATCAAATTAATTTGTATAAAATTGATGAGTTAGGAGAACTAAAATGAACCAAAGGAGGAGTAAGTCATTTTCCAGTGAACAGAACATATCAAACTATAGGATTATATGAGGACCGAGAAACGAAAAGATCGGAAGGCAGGTGGGAGTCGAGATGCATATATTTACCTTTTTGCCATTTTCAATGAGTTCAGGATGATAGCCGAGGCTGAGATAAAGGTCCTTCAAGGAAGAAACGAAGCGCGATGCGGGAACCAAATTCTGATGGTCGGCCGGCAAACTTATTAGAAGGAAATGATGGCACCGAAATCCAGCATCTCTGGATGGAATCGTTGACCCCTCGGACCAGTACTCATTGTGACCGAAAATGTGGAATGCCTACGGGTGCATATTGGAGTTTATAAAGGGTATTTGAGGAAAGCTCAGCTGTTAAGTTTCTGTAATGCTAATTATTATAATTTTCTATTATAATCCTGTATTATATTATAAACTCAAAATATGATATAATGTAATATTTATTTGATATTAAATTATAATTATATATTTATAATCACACCTATTTATAATTATATTTTTTAGTAGATGTGGTTTGAAAAATCTATAATTAAAAAAAATTTAAATCATTATAAATGAGTAGGATTTGACTAAATTTTAAATTTATTTGACTAAAAATCAAACTTATTTACTTTTAAATCACATGAGTTTTGATTACTAAATCAAAAGGTTGAAAAATTAATGAATAAGGTGCGTCTAATTAAAAAATTCTGCCCCAAAGCCTTTTGTATAAAATTTTTCAATGATTTTTATATTTTTTAAAAGATTTTCTAGAAACCTTTTACTAAATTATTTTTTTTAATTTTTTAATAATCAAAATTAATAAAATAATAATCAAAGAATTCAAAAAATTCACTAAAAAATATAAAAAATAATTTTTTATTAAAATCAAAATCAATTCAAATAATTACTTTAAAAAAATCAAAACAGATAAAATTTATTTTTTTATTTGATTAATAGTTACTAAAATTAAAAATCTAAAATTTTAGTTAACTAATAATTCAATTCTAATTACAAGCAAAATCGATCTATACCCACCCCTACCTTCTAAACCTAATTGTGGAAAGTTTAAATTTTAATCGTATACCATTCTTTTAAGGTTTTTTTTAGCTTGTGTCACAATGGCACAAGTTAAGAACTTTTTTTTTTATCATAAATTATAAATATATATAAAAAATAAAAGTTGACATTAATTTAGTATACATACAAGTGAATTAATTTAATTAAATATTTGATAAATTAAAAGTTAATTCTTAATTTTTCAATATAAATTTATAACAAAAATGCATATTTATTATACCTTGATGTATGTTTTAAGGATACAAATTAAAAAAGTCATTTTTTAAGATGTTATTTTCAGTAGCACTTAGATTTTTTTAACTTTATTTTTATTTTAAGAAATTTTTTAACTTGTATCCTTAAGTTATAATTATTACACTTTTTCTTCATTAATTTACATAAAAAAATGAAGGCTAATTTAAATTCTATTAATTATCTAATTAAATTATTCTATAAGAAATTAGTATTGAAAATAAAATCTATTTTTGTACAATACTTTTTATATAAATTAATAATCTGTAGTCTGCGCATTTAAAGTATAAATTAGAAAAATCTTATTTTAAACCCAAAACCTTATTTTAACTCTAAGGCAGTCTCTTCTTTAGGAAGTAGTGGAATACCCAAATTTACTCCTAAAATTAGGTTTAAATACCATTTTGGTCCCTCAACTTTCTACTTTAGTACCAAAATTGTCCTTTAACTTTAAAAAGTACCAAAATTATCCTTAAACTTTCATTTTCGGTACCAAAATGATCCTTTTGTCAATTAAATGGACAAGTGGCATGTTAACTTGTGAGCAAATCAATTCTTTTTTCTTAACTAATGACATGGAAAAAAAAAAAACATAGTTGGCTTATGAGTTGGCATTTTTATTTAATTTAAAAATAATGATTTTTTTTTTTCATCCACGTCATCTCTTCTTCCTCTTTCACTTTCTCTCCCCTTTACCTTTCATTTTGCCTTACCTCTGCAAACCTAGATCTGAGTTTTCTCTCAAACTTCATCTTCTTCCTCTTTTACTCCTCCTTACTCATCCTTCTTCTTTCTTCTTCTTATTCTCTCTCTCTTTTCTCCCTTCTTCTTCCTCTCTCAAACCTAGATCTGGGTTTTTCTCAAACCCAGATCTGGATTTTATCACATAAAATAACAATATGAAGAAGTTGGATGAACAACATTGTAAGGTGGCAATGTCGATTTGAATGAGGTATGAGACGGTGGCGGTACCGGGAGCTGTGATGGAGTTGTGGGTGGCATCTTAACATCTTCAAAAGGGCTAATGTTCAACCAATTTCCTAGAGGATCATAGTTTTTCATAACATATTCTTTGTTTACTTTTTCAAATATTCTAACCAATGATTAGGGAAGCTTATGATTCTTTTTCTTGCAAAAATAATGTGTCTTGAGCACTGCATCACATTATTTGTAATCCATGGTTTAAATCCAAACCAAACCTTATATTTGTAGATCTACAAAAATCCAAACCAAATACCTTAGAAAGAGCATCTGCCATAACAAATTCCAAACAACAGAATCACAAAATAACAGTTTTGAGCACTCCATCACATGGACTCCTGCAGAGAAGTGAATCAAGCAAACTCTTCAATTTCTCAAACCTAAACAAAAGTAGGCAGTGGCATATTGTGGGAATTTGTTGATGATGAAAGGGAAATGGTGAGAGTTGATGAGGAAAGATCACCAGAAGTTCGAGAAAACTCCAGCAGAGAAGTGAAATTGAGCATAGAACTCTTCAATTTCTATGGTGAATAGTAGTAAGCGGTGGCATGTCAAGAGAGGCGACGAAATGAAATGGAATATGAAGGGGCAACTTTCGTAGGGAGGGCATCATTGGGTTGATGATGGTGATGATTTGAGTTTTTAAGGAAGTAAAGTAGAAGATGTCGCTGCAGGAGAGGAAGACAGCCCACCGACACTACCACCTTACAATGTTGTTCATCCAACTTCTTCAGATTGATTTATGTGATGAAACCTAGATCTGGGTTAGAGAAAAACCTAGACCTAGGTTAGAGAAAAACCTAGACCTAGGTTTGAGAGAGGAAGAAGAAGGGAGAAGAGAGAGAGAGAGAGAAAGAATAAGAAGAAGAAAGAAGAAGAAAGAAGAAGGATGAGCAAGAAGGAGGAAATGAGGAAGAAGATGAAGTTTGAGAGAAAACCCAGATCTGGTTTTGCAGAGGTAAGGGAAAACGAAAAGTAAAGGAGAGAGAGTGAAAGAGGAAGAAGAGATGATGTGGATGAAAAAAAATTACTATTTTTAAATTAAATAAAAATGCGAACTCATAAGCCAACTATGTTTTTTTTTTTCCCCATGTCATTAGTTAAGAAAAAAGAATTGATTTGCTGACAAGTTAACGTGCCACCTGTCTATTTAACTGACGGAAAGATCATTTTGATACCGAAAATGAAAGTTTAAGGATAATTTTGGTACTTTTTAAAGTTGAAGGACAATTTTGGTGCTAAAGTGAAAAATTGAGGGACCAAAATGGATCCACCCTCAAATAAAAAAGGGTATAAATCCATCTACAAAATTTTTTACTTGGATAAATTATCCCAAATTTAATGTGTGACATTATTTAATATTAGCAATCTGTTAATTTATTACATCATTAACGTCATGTAAGGGAAAACGAAAGGTAAAGGAGAGAGAGTGAAAGAGGAAGAAGAGATGATGTGGATGAAAAAAAAAATTATTATTTTTAAATTAAATAAAAATGCGAACTTATAAGCCAACTATGTTTTTTTTTTCCCCATGTCATTAGTTAAGAAAAAAGAATTGATTTGCTGACAAGTTAACGTGCCACCTGTCCATTTAACTAACGGAAAGATCATTTTGGTACCGAAAATGAAAGTTTAAGGATAATTTTGGTACTTTTTAAAATTGAAGGACAATTTTGATGTTAAAGTGAAAAATTGAGGGACCAAAATGGATCCACCCTCAAATAAAAAAGGGTATAAATCCATCTACAAAATTTTTTAATTGAATAAATTATCTCAAATTTAATGTGTGACATTATTTAATATTAGCAATCTGTTAATTTATTACATCATTAACGTTACGTATTAAATTTGAGGTGATTTATTCAAATCGAAAACTTTATAAATAAATTTATTTCTTTTTTTTGTTCAAAAATAAATCTATCGTTACCACATAATTTTAGAAGTGGATTTGAACATTTTGTCTTAAGAAGTGTTTGCTAATGGGGAACACTCCGATCCTGTTCCATTACCATCTTAAAATAATAATTATAATATATACTTCTTTTATTTTAAAATAAAAAGATATAAAAA